CTAAGAAGTGTCATTTTTGGAAGCACTTGCTTTCATTTGGCCTCTAGACTTTCAAGAGAAATTCAGCAGCGTGGTCTCAAGGGGCCGGAGCGGGCGGCAGGCCCAGGGTGGGCAGGAGTCGGGCACTCCCGGCCTGAGATTGCTGTCCCTGCACAGGGCAGGGCCCCGGGCTAGCTTTTCGGTTACACTTCGGAGAGTGGAGCAGCCTCGCTGCAAAATATCGACCAACAGCACAGTGTTCTCTTCCACCCAGCAATTCCCCTTGGGAACGAAAGCCGTTTGATGAGACACGAAGAAGGCAAAATATGTATGAGATGACACGTGATGTGTTTAGACTAGTGCCTGGAACGTGGTCAGTGCCACATAGATGCTCACCGCTGGTATGATTCCTGATGGGCATTTTAAGAGCTCGTTTAAAAAGATAAGGACTATCGCCCGCCTGGTGTGGCTCAGTGGCTGAGCATTGACCCGCACCAAGAGGTTGCTGGTTCGATTTCCGGTCAGGACACATGCCCAGGATGTGGGCCCGATCCCCAGTGGGGGGCGTGCAGGAGGTGACCAGTTGATGTTTTCTCTCATTGATGTTTCTTTAAAATGTTTTTTTTCTTTTTAATTTATTTTTTCTTTATTGATTTGAGAGGGAGAGGAAGGGAGAGAGAGTGACACAGGCCTGCAAATGCCTGGACTCTGCTGGGGGGCTGTGTAGCAAGACACACCCCCCCACCCCCGTGCAGTTGTGCCCCGCGCGGGGACCGGCAACGTGGGCCGCCTGGATGGAGAGGCATGCTCACTGCTTTGCTCCCTCCTGCACTGTTTGCGTGTCCTGCCACGTGCTCAGTGGACTCCTCCAGCCCGTGTGTAAACGGAGCAGCTCCAGGCCTCTAGGCGTCTTTACTCTGGGCTCCAAAACTCTCCAGTCACCTTGACTGCGGAGCTTCAAATGAGCATCTGTGCCCCCTGGGAGACAGCTCAGAAAGGGCTGGTTTCAGAATGAGGCGCAGAAACCTCCCGCACCTGTTCGCGGGAGCCCAGCGAGACGGGCATCTGTTTCCATGGGTCACAAACCCGAGCACACCCGGGGACTGCACCAGCACTGCCTGTGGGGTGCGGCTCAGGGAGGGGCCCAGGTGCTCTGGCCTCTGCTGTCCTGTTCATCCCTCGATCAGGAGACAGCGCGGCTCACAGAGATCAAACAACGCCCCCCCCCCCGAGTGTCCCACCGTTTTTTTTTTTTCCTGTCTGATTGAATACAATCTAGTAGTTTCCCATTTATATAAAGTTCAGGAACAGGCAAAACGAATCTATGGTGATGGACGTCAGAAGAGTGGCTAATCCGGGAGGGGTGTACGGCCCGGGAAGGGGGCATGAGGGAGCCTTCTGGGGGCTGCACATGTTTTGTCCTGATCTGGGCAGGTTGCCTGGGTACGTGCGTATGTACAGGTTCATTGACCCGCCCGCTCAAAACAGCGTGCAGTGTGATTTCACCTCGTGCAAATCACACCCCTAATGAAAGGACATAGAAAGCAAATCAAATCCACTATCTGTCAACAGTATGTGAGCAGAACAGCATTACCAAGCCATGTCCAGTAACGAGACACTGGGGACCCTACCATTCAATCCTCGACCACCCCGAAAGTCGGTGTGACTTTTGTTTTCCTTTTCACGCCCAACCCAGGCTGGATTAAAGCACCAAAGTGCCATCCCGGTGGGCAAGACCACGTGTGCAGCTTCCGAGAGGGCGCCCGCGGTGTGCGGGGGAGGGTGCTTGTGCTCCAGAGGGCGAAGGGCTGTCTAAGCCCTGGAGCCAGCTGCGTTATCTGGCGGGGATAGCCCAGCGCACGGAGGTAGGGGGACCGGATGGCAGCACCCAGCGGTGACTCTGGGCTTGCCCTACTCCAACAGGCAGCAGAGTCCGAGTACCTCTGATTCGCAATCCACCCACCAGCCCCACTGCCATTGTTACTTTTTTTTCTTTATTGATTTTAGAGAGACAGGAAGGGAGAGGGAGAGAGGTAGAAACATGGATGAGAGAGAACATCGACTGGCCGCCTCCTGCATGTCCCTCACTGGGGATCGGGCCCACAACCTGGGCATGTGCCCTGACCGGGAATCGAACCGGCAATGTCATGGTGCCTGGGTCGACGCTCAACCACTGAGCCACACCGGCCGGGTCCTTTGTTACTTTTCATTGACACAATGATACGATACATGATTGTAAAAAAGTCAAAACATTACAAATAGGGCCAAAGTCCCATCTGACCATCATTGACCATCATGCCCAATCCTGGTCCCCGTTGCCCTGTCTGGAGCCGTCCTTGCCGTGGTACATACCACTTCAGGTGTCTGCTGCCTCACACCCACAGGTGCGCAGTCACGGACAATCATGCGCGTCCAATGTGTGTGTTTGCTTTACTGAAAGGCATCTTAGAAAGTGCCGGCTACAAAGTACCTTTCCCCGACCCGACAACCTGCCTAGACAATCTTACAGATCTATCTCGTCCTTTTTAACTGTGGCCTGGGATCCCCGGAGATGTTCTGTGCACCTCATTGATTCAGCCCTCCTCAGCTTCACGAGCACTTACATGGCTCACATTGACGCTACTGTGGATTGCTTCAGTGGACATTCTGTGACCCGTGGCACGTGGAGAGTAACTTCTGGGTTGTGGATCAGTATGTTCTACATTTTAATTGACACGGGCAGATTGCCCCCCAAAACCGTGGTGCCAGCCCTCTCCCTCAGCAGGGCATGAGTTCAGAGTCCCCTCGATCACCCCCGCACTCAATATTATCAAATTGTAAGACTTTGCCAACCTGATGAATAAAGTCTTTTCTCATTGTTGTTTAAGTTGTATTTTTCTGGCCATTGGTCTTTTCTAGGTTTACCAACCATCTGCATTTCCTCTCCTCCTCTGCTCTCTGTCCTCCAGGCCGGTGTATGCTTTGCTCTGGGCGTCTGCCCCCCACCCCCGTGCTTCCTCAAATGCCCTTCCTCTGCCTCTCCACCTGCCCAGTTCCTTCCCACCCCTCAAAGCCCCCTTCCTGCGCACCAACGCTTTTCGTCACCTCTGAATCAGTCTCACCCCAGCCCCCTCCCCCGGGGAGGTTTCAGAGGGTCTGGGAAGCATAAAGTTAAAGCAGTGTAACAATCATTACAGTCCTCATCCTCGATACCGTTTACTGAGAACTTACTGCGCCAAGAACTTGCTGTAAGAATCTAACTGTTAGCTCGTTCCATTCTCATAACGCCCGTGAGGCAGGCAGTTCTTACACCCGTTTCACAGCGAAGAAAGTGGAGGCACAGAGCAGCTAAGGAAGTTGCCAACAAGGCTTCCCATGGGGTTAAATGGCAGAACCAAGATTCGAACCCAGGCTGCCCAGCTCCAGCGTCGACCTCGTGAGTGCTCTGATAGCTAGGGGTAGGTCAGGGCCTAGGAAGCACAGGATAGGCACCTCTGCTGGCCTGGGGCAGTCAGGAATGGCTCCCTGGAGGAGGTGACACATCAGCTGAGCTTGAAGAAGGAATAGGAGGAGGTCACCAGGCAATAAAACAGGAGGAGGAAAGGGCTTGGAGAATGGAGAGCTGGTGATCCCGGCTGCGGCCTGGGGTGTGTGCTGGGGCAGGAGATCGGGCCATGCGATGGGCCAGCCCAGACCCGGGCCCCACCAGAGTCGGCCGTCCCAGGCAGGCCGGGCCCTCCTGCTCTTGGCGCCCAGTGGCACCTGTGGGAGCTCCGGGAACACAGGCCGAGTGCACCCACCTCCGCCTGAGGTGGACTGCGCAGGGGCGGGGGGTGGGGGGGGTGCTGCTGATTTACATCCGACAGGCTGGGGGAACACCCAGGAAGTGCAGGCCAGGCACTAATCAAATCAAAGGCTAATAATAAACACCCTGAGTAATGAGAGCAGGCAGGCGGCTGGAGCTGGGCGAGCCGGGAGCAGCGGTGTGAAGAGCTGGGGAGGCCGGTGAGTGGGAACGAGGAGGGCTTGGCCTGGGCGCTTCCTGCCAGTGCGGGGGTTCGGTGGGCATGGCGCCCACAGCAGCTGCACCAGCTCAGGCTGCCAGGGCCTCCCCTAGTCCCCACATGTGCAGAGCCCCGCGTGTGGGGGCTCTGGGGGTCCGCCCCTTGCACTCCAGGAGAGGGCTGAGTGGGGAGGGAGTCACATGGGCAGGAACCCCCACCCCACCCCAAGCTGGCCCCAGGATTCCAAATCGGATTGATCAGGACATTTTTTAAGTATTTTATTTTGAAGTTGATACTTATGCAAAAGCAGAGGAGAGTTTGACACCCCTCCTCAGCCACCACCGGCTTAAACACTGGTCAGCGTACGGCCGACTTGATCACATCCATGCCAGTCCTACCGGATCATTTAACACAATTTTTTTAAAGATTCTTAAAATTGATTTTTAGAGAGAGGAAGGGAGAGGGAGAGAAAGAACCATCGATATGAAAAACATCTCTGGGCTGCCTCCCGCATGCCCCTCACTGGGGATCTAGCCTGGGAGCCGGGCATGTGCCCTGACCCGGAATCCAACCAGCAGCCCCTCGGTGCCCCGGACTCGCCTGACCAACTGAGCCACACTGGGTCACATTGTTTGATTTATGGATACCTCAGGGTTTATCTCTTAAAACAAAACCTCTTTAAATAACAAGACCCCAAAATCACACCCCCCTCCTACCATGACCTCTTCTGAAAAGAATGAGTCCTTAAGGGTCACCAAATAGCCGGTGTTCACTCTCCCGGTGGTCTGATCAACGTCTTTTCCAGCTGACCTGTTCTGGTTGGGATCGGAACGCAACCCATAGCACACATTTTGTTGTATGTTTTCATCTAGAACAGTTCCCATGCTGTCTCACTGTTTGTTTGCTCTTTATTTCTTGAAGAAACTGCATCATGCATCCTGTAGAGTTTTTATCAGGGCAGGTTTTGAAGGCCGGTTCAGCACGTGACATTGCTAAAGCTGATGAGAGGTCTGAGTCACCAGGCAGAGGGGGCCCAAGGCTGGTGTTCAGGGGATGTCAAGCCCGTGGTGGCAGAGCCTGGATCTGCACACTGCCCCCTGCTGCTCTGCCCCCACCCCTCTGCCAGGGAGTTGGACCAAGCAGGTGCCAGAGGTCACCTGGACCACAGGTCAGGAGACTGACCCAGTGAGGCCGAATCAGCCCTGCCAGGATTTGGGAGTTCTAGCTCCGCTGTTCATAAACTTGCTTTGTGACCAGGAATGATCGCCTTGGCCTCTCTGGGCTCTGCGGCCTCTGTCTCTCCAGACGCCCCTCAGAAACATAAAATTGCTTTGGACCTGCCGGAGTCCCTCTCAGAGAGCTGCAGCTAAAACAAAGTGCTTTGACTTTCTTCAACTTGGTGCTTTTCAAATTAATTTGACCATAGAGGTCTTTCTGGACGCCAAGCACACGGGGAGCACAGGCAGGAGACCCAGGAATCGCCTATCCTGGCTGCTCTCTGGTGTCACTGAGAGCCCAGGGCGAGCCCGGTGCACAGACCAGGCAGAGGGGCTCTTCCCTCCCCTGAATGTCCTTGGGGCTTCTTTGCCAAGCTTCTATGTACAATATCATGTCATCTGCAAATAATGACAGTTTCACTTCCTCCTTTCCAATTTGGATCCCTTTTATTTTTTCTTCATGTCTAATTGCTGAGGCTAAGACTTCCAATACTATGTAAATAAGAGTGGCAAAAGTGGACATCCCTGTCTTGTTCCTGTTCTTAAGGGAAATGCTTTTAGTTTTTGCCCATTTAGTATGATGTTGGTTGTAGGTTTTTTATATATGCCTTTATTATGTTGAGATATGATCCCTCTATTCCCACATTGCTGAGCGTTTTTATCAGAAATGGGTGCTGAATTTTATCGAATGCCTTTTCAGCATCTATTGATATGATCATATGATTTTTATCTTTTATTTTGTTTATGTGGTGTATCACATTTATTGATTTGCAAATATTGTACCAGCCTTGCATCCCTGGAATGAATCCCACTTGGTCATGGTGGATGATTTTTTTGATGTATTGCTGGGTCCGATTTGCTAATATTTTGTTAAGGATTTTGGCATCTGTATTCATCAGGGATATTGACCTGAAGTTTTCTTTTTTTGTAGTGTCTTTATCTGGTTTTGGAATTAGGATTATGCTGGCCTCATAAAATGAGATTGGAAGTCTCCTCTCTTCTTGGATTTTCTGGAATATTTTGAGAAGAATGGGTATTAGATCTTCTTTGAATGTTCGGCAAAACTCCCCTGTGAAGCCATGTGGGCCTGGGCTTTTGTTTGCTGGGAGTTTATTAATTACATCTTCAATTTTCTTTGTTGTTCTCTGTATGAGTCTGTTCTACTTGCTCATTTTGTTTGTAGATTCAATTGTTGATAGATATGTAGTATTTGCCATTTTATTGTTCATATTTTTGATCTTCTTCAAGAAGACACTTCAGCATTTCATGTAATACTGGTTTGGTGGTGATGAACTTCTTTAGCTTTTTCTTGTCTGGGAAACTCTTTATATGTCCATTGATTCTAAATGATTGTTTTGCAAGATAAAGTAATCTTGGTTGTAGGTCCTTGTTTTTCATCACTTTCAATATTTCTGGCCAATCCATTCTGGCCTGCAAAATTACTTTTGAGAAATCGGCTGACAGTCTTATGGGAGCTCCCTTGTAGGCAACTAACTGCTTTTCTCTTGCTGCATTCAAGATTCTCTCTTTGTCTTTAACCTTTTGCATTTTAATTATGATGTGTCTTGATGTTCCTCTTGTCTGGGAATCTACTTCCTGGACTTGTATGTCTGTTTTCTTTACCAGTTTAGGGAAGTTTTCTGTCATTATTTTTTCAAATAGATTTTCAATTTCTTGCTCTCTCTCTTCTCCTTTTGTCACCCCCATGATGCAAGTGTTGATACGTTTGAAGTTGTCCCAGAGGCTCCTTACACTATCTTCATTTTTTGGGATTCTTTTTTCTTGCAGTGTTTTGAATTCTTAATCTGTTAGATTGCTTATCTTCATTTTGTTTAGTTTTTTTCCTGGAGTTTTGTTCTTTTCTTTCATTTGGAACATGTTTTTTTGTCTCCTCATTTTGGCTGCCCCTCTGTGTTTGTTTCTATGTATTAGGTAGAGTTGCTATGTTTCCTAGGGTGGCCTGTTGTAGTAGGTGTCCTGTAGGGCCTGGTGATCTTCCTGATCACCCCAGCTGTGACCTCAAGGTGCATCCCTGTGTGGACTGTACACACTTCTGTTGTAAGTGAATCTTGATTGCTGTTGGCACATCAATGGGGGGGATTTACTTGGGCTGATCAGCTACAAAGAGTGGCTTAACCACTGACCCAGGACCTCTGACCACCCTGAAGGATCAGCTGTGCAGGGGCCCACCACACAGAGCAATACTTACTTCAGCAGTGTTCTGGTACCTACTGAGTCCACCCCTTGAATGTGTCACTTGTGAAGGCGGTTGAGTGATGGTGCTTCTGTATGGTCTGAAGCTGTCCACTGGGTGTGCTGGCTCTGGGGCAGGGTCAGCCACTGCCTGTGTTCTACCTGGGGCCACCGGGCATAGGTTACAAAGTGATCTGCAGATGGCTGCTTCTTGTGCTGGGCTTGGAGGTGCCCAAGAGAGGCCAAGCTATGAACCAAGGCCAGCTGCAAAAGGTATGGGGCTAGCTGAGACCAGATGCTGCTTGTTTGAGAGATTTTAGGAAAATCTGAACCATGAGCCTAGACAGGCCAATCCTATGGTAAAGCCACTGGAAATAGCTTTGGTGGGGCAGGGCCTCAGGGAATCCCTAGGGTGGGGCAAACAGTGTGAGCCAGGTTGCTGGAGTCCCAGACATTGCACCCATCTGCCAGCCCCATGGGGCTCACCAAAGAAACAACAGCCTCAGACAACAGGTGTCAGGGAGAAAGCTGCTCTCACCCCGATGCCAAAAACACAGTTCTTCCCCTTACATTCTGGTGCCTTCCAAGCTGCCTCCGGTGCTGGAACCCAGAGGGAGTGAGTCTGAGTAGATCTGCTGGTTTTTAGAGGCGGAACTTTATGGGGGCTTCTCTTCATGGCACTGAAACCTTTAGTTGGGGGGCACAGTATGGGACTGGGACCCCTCATACCTCAGGAAGGACCTTCACAGCTGAGGTATCCCTCTTGATTTTTATCCACCATACATGAGTGTGGGACCAGTCCTTCCACGTCTCTGCCCCTCCTACCAGTCTCCATGTGGCTGCTTCAATATCCTTATTGTAGGACTGCTGGATTCTGAATGATGGTTATTCTGTAGTTTAGTTGTAATTTTGATGTGGTTGTGGGAGGAGGCAAGTGCCTCATTTACCTATGCCACCATTTTGATCAGAAGTCTCCACTGGGCTACATTTGAGCATTTTGCAAGAATAGCATTTAGTAAGAATGGCCCAGACCTTGACACCCTTGTCCTATCCAACAGTCCCCCTTGAGATTTTTCACTCCTCGTTCTTGAGGGAATAGGGACCAGGGGCATATTTCTGTAACTACTTCCTGCTGAATGGGGACTGAGTATGTCTTGAGTCGAAGGAGTGAGATTCTCTGGCTGCCTGACATGAACGTCTTGGGGTCCCCTAGGCTCCGGGATTCCTGAGAACTGTGTGAGGAGAGCACTGCTCTAACAGGAGACACGCTCCAGAAGAGGTGAGGGAGAAGCAGGGAAAATCAAGACTGAGACCTTGCCCCTCATAAACTCTCACTCCGGTGGGATTCAATGAGCAAGGTGGACCAGAGTGACGGCCTCCCTGAGAACGAAGAGGCCGGCAAGGGAGAGAAGGGGGGAGGTGCTGTCCTGTTGACTCTCTTCCCGTGTGCTCCAGGACCCCGAGCCGTGACTGTGAGTCAGGAGTCACGCGTCGAGCGGCTGGTCTGCCCAGCACTTTGGAGGACAGGTGGGGTCTGGGCAGGAAGTGACTGCAGAGAGGGGAGCCCAGTGGCGGAAGCACAGCAGGCCCAGAGGGGGAGGGGCACCAGCTGCGGCAGTTCACACGGTATCGTCGGCGTGCGTGGTTTCTCGAGCACAGTGACGCTTGCCACGTGGTTGAGTGAGGAGCCGCACCTCATAGCACCTTGGCCTGGGAGGGGGGACAGCTCGGCAGGACGTCCGGACACAGCCCTTTGTGTCTGCTCCTGTGGGACAGACAGTGCATCACAGAAAAGCCCCGTGATGGCAGGAGGCACTTCCGGGGAATACAAGCTGTGTGTGTGTGTGTGTGTGTGTGTGTAGGAGGGTGAGGCCAAACATGTGAGGCTGTTCAGGGCCACACAGCAGAAGGCCCTCTGTGCTCAGACCTGTTGGACACATCCTCCAGTTAGCCAGCTACACAGCTGCAGTTCAGACACTGAAGCCCTTCGGAAAGTCAGGATACAGGGAGAAGACACCACTCACTCGCAACCTCTTTGTCCCCCAAACCCACGGCCCAGTAGGCGCTGGGCGGAGCCTTGAGACGAGCAGATCACCCGAGGTCTGTACACCCACAGGCTCCATCTTTCACAGACGGGCTCCTCCACCCCTCGTCCCCAGACGGGAAACATGAGGAGCTCAAGACTGAAAGTGAAGACAGGAAACAGCTCCGGGCACAGGCTGTAATGAAACAGGAGGGGAAAGCAAGGAGAGTCAGCGATGCCACGGGGCCGCCACAGGAGGCACTGCCCCCTCCCCCCGCACTCTGGCCCCAGTGCCCGCACCAGCAGAGGTCCCGCTCCGCTCAGCCCTCTGGCTTCGGGATCCTGGAGAACATGTGCTCAGAAGGCTGCTCCAAGGCCGGCCTCCCATGGCCCAGGCAGGTGGGACTGTGAGAGCCAGAGGACAGGCCAGGATGCCTGGTCTAACCACGTGGCCCACCTGCCACACCTCGGACCCACTCGGCTAAAGGAAGGTTCTGGGTGGCTGGGCCTCCCCTCACCTGCCTCCCTCCAGCTCACAGCTCAGCAGTGCAGCGTCTGGTCCTAAACCTCCGTGGCTGCCTCGGCCGTGACAGAGCGCTGGGCTGCTCCACCTCGCTGCTCCCGCCGCAGGGCACGTGCCCGCAGCCCGTTCCACTGCCGGTCAGCAGACTCCCAGCCACAGGCCTGTGCCCAGCTGAGGACACAGCCAGCAGCACGCGTCCTGCCTGTGGGTGC